TTTCGGAAACCCCTAGGAAATGCTTGTTCAAATATAGAACAAAAGAAAACAATATATGTATTTTGCTAAGCATGTAAAGTGCACACTTTTTATTGCTAAAGTCCTCACTAAGGCAGGTTGCCATTATCAAAGCCTAGATGTTTTCTTGAGCTATTTTGTTTTATTCAGATTTAAAATCAGGATTAGAAACTGGGTCTCAGATAACCTCTGAGATTGCAATGCACATACAGTACAGCCATTTCTGTTCTTAGATATCTATAGAGAGTTGTGAAGCTGGTCTTCTGTGAGAACACACTGACCTCATGGCTTTCAACTTCACTCTGGCAAGGAATCGGCATGTGTGAGATGACCAAAGGTTGCCCACAGAGTCTTTGAAAAAGATGATAGTTTGTCTGATCGGTACTATAAAATGATTTTGAAAAGAGGAGGCATCCCTACTTTAGTCTAAAAGGAAAGAAAGCCTTTTCAGTTGTCCATATTGTTCTTTTATGAAGAAGATTCTTAGGCTTCGTGCAACTTTTAAACACCCAGTTCCTTGAACAAACTACTACATAAAGGCTTAGAAGGTTGTAAATACAGTGGTAGTCCATTCCATAAGTGGTTGGCCGATAGCACCATTTACAGAAACATTGGAATTCACACATTTTAAAATGTAAATTCAATGTACCTTTTCACCATGACCTGACTAAAAAACAAGATTCCTGAGTTATTCTGCCCTAGATATGTCATCCCCTGTCCTGTGAAAGAGAATATAGTTATTGCCTGAATTTTTCTGGAGCTGATTGCCCTTTAAGTGAATGTCCTTGTCTTTTAACTGATGGCCTTTTGCTTATTTTACTGCTTATTAGCACTTTAGTTGTGTGTGATGTGCAGAATAACGCCTCCCCCACCAAAGATGTGTACATACCCTAATCCCTGAAGCCTATGACTATGTTACATAACATGGAAAGAGAGATGAGGTACAGATTGAATTAAATCTGTTAATCATTTACCTTAAAATGGGGAGATTATTTTGGGTTATCTGAGTTGCCCCAGTGTATTCACAAAGGTTCTTAAATGTAGAAGAGGACAAGTGATGTGAAAGGTGTACTTGGCCACCTTTGCTGGCTTTGAGATTGAGGAGGGGGCTGCACGAGCCCAGGAGACTTCTAAAGCTTGAAAGGCAAAAGAAACCTGTTCTTCCTTGAGCTTCCAGAAAAGAACGCCCTCCTGACACCTTTGATTTTTGATACCCAGTGAAATTCATGTCCAATTCCTGACTTACAGAACCATTAGACAATATATTTTGTTGATTTAAGCCACTAACCTTGTGGTCATTTGTTATGGCAACCATAAAAAACAATGCATTTGCCAGTGTTCCAAGAAAGGAAGAATGAAGATCAAACTCAAGGTACTCCATCCAGGAAAAGATTTAGTGTATGTTGAATTTGCAGGGCTTGCTGGCAAGGAGATAAAAGACGGTCAGTGAATTTCAGCACCCTGCCCTCACTGCTTCCCATTAATGCAGAAAATCTGCAGGTGTCTGTTGCTTGACCTGAAATACACTTCAAAACAATATACCTTTGTTTCAGTCAGCCTCCAGGCTGCCTACTTGGCTATCATGGGAGTGAGCTTTTCATGGAATAGATTTATTATGTTATTTCTCTTTAAAGTCCATTTTATGACTTTTCCATTGTCTAGAGAAAAAAGCTCACACATGTAGCTTGGCAGTGAAGGCCCCTTGACAACAGAAGCTTCTGCTGCAGCTACGTCATACTTCTTTTTCTTATGCACCTTATATTAGCCAAGGTAAAATACTTAACGTTTGATGAGCCTGGCCTAGTGTTTTGCACTTTTATTCTTCCTACATTTCATTTTCTCTGCCACTGGTGTCCTTCCAGATCCGCACGCCTCCTCACAATCCCCTATGAATTCTTTGAGACTCAATTCCAATATTAAACTCCCTGGAAAATCAAGGAACATAGCACGTCAAATAAAATTGTTCCATCTATCCTTTATGCCACATTATGACTTTTATTCTTTGATTAAAAGTATTTCCATTTCCGGATGCCTGTGTGGCTCAGTGGTTAAGCCTCTGGCTTCAGCTCAGGACATGATCCTAGGGTCCTGGGATGGAGTCCCACATCGGGTTCCCTGCAGGGAGCCTACTTTTCTCCCTCTGCCTCTTCCTCTCTCTCTCTCTCATGAATAAATAAATAAAATCTTTAAAATAATTATTTCCATTTCATTTTGTTTCATTCTGTGAATTTCTTGAAGGTAGCAAATAGGTCTAATATATTTGTGGGAATCTTAGTAACTCACATAGCTTATAGAGTAAATACTCAGTAAATAAATTTGAAGTGAACAAATGATTGTTACCTAACCTGGCCAACCTACTACAGAGATACCATTAGATTGCAGATTCCTGATTCCCAGGCCAGTCTTTGGTTATATTCTGCAAAACTTAAGTACTGGGAGATCCCTGGATGGCTCAGCAGTTTGGTGCCTGCCTTCAGCCCAGGGCGTGATCCTGGGGTCCCGGGATCGAGTTCCACCTCAGGTTCCCTGCACAGAGCCTGCTTCTCCCTCTGCCTGTGTCTCTGCCTCTCTCTCTCTCTGTGTGTCTCTCATGAATAAATAAATAAAATCTTTAAAAATTAATAAATAAAACAAGTACTATAAAAAATTTTTTAAATACCTAGGGAACATTTTTATTTTAAATAAAATTTTGGCACTGACTAGTTTCCTTTGATGCCATTTCTCCTTCTTTATCTCTTAATTCTTAACACTTGGAATTTCATGGTTTTGTTGTATCAAAATGAAAACATCAAAATAGTCTCTCTGCCTTGTTTAATTTTTTCACGAGTAGAGACTTGCAAGAATTATTTTGTGTGTTGGGGCACCTGGGTGGCTCAGTCAAGTGTATGCCTTTGGCTCAAGTCATGATCTCAGGGCCCTTGGATCAAGCCCCTCATGGGGCTCCATGCTCAGCACAGAGTCTGCTTCTCCCTCTCCTTCCTCTCTGCCCCCGCACGCACCTCTGCCCCACTCACACGTTTGCTCTTTCAAATAAATAAAATCTTTTTTTTTTAAAAGAATTATCTTGCTTGATAGATCTATTTTTATTTATTTATTTATTTAAATATTGTGAAAATATCTGGGATGCCTGGGTGGCTCAGTGGTTGAGTCTCTGCCATCAGCTCAGGTCATGATCCGGGGTCCTGGGATCAGTTCTGCATCAGGCTCCCCATAGGGAGCCTGCTTTTCCCTCTGCCTGTTCTCTGACTCTCTCTCTTTCTCTCTCTCTCATGAATAAATAAATAAAAATCTTAAAAAATAATATTATGAAAATATTGAGAAGACTGAAATGTAATCAAATAGCATGGCTGGTATCAAATTCTTTTGACTTTAAATACTTGTATATTCTCTCAGCGCTTCTATTTACTGCCTTTTTAGATTTGTTACTGATGTTGATTTCTCAGTGGTTGCATGTGGGATCTGACTTGCTGAGCAAGTCTTTATGATATTGAGAATGTATATGGTAGAGCTTGGAAACTGTAAACATTATTCAGATGGAATGAATTATTTTCATAACTTTTATTGTCACTTTACACTGTGATTGCAGAATGTTCACAATTTTCATAATGATGGGAGTAATTCCACTGGGAATTTCTCTTTTTTACAACTATTGTCAGAATTCAAAATCTTAAAATGTTTGGCATAATTTTTAGTGTAATCAGTAAAACACATCCTTGTGTTGCATAATTTATAAGTTTGGTTTACAACTTTTAAAAAGGAAAACCGTTTCTATTAACGTAAATGAGCGCATTGGCGTTAATGTTTTATGTAAGAAGATCATCATTAATTTAGAAAATAGAGGCCGTTAGTAAATCATTGAAATGCAAATGTATTTAAAACAGATTTTATTTTTGAAATGCTCTGAAAATGTTGATAAGTATTTGGAAACAGTAGATTGTAACTATAGAAATATCCTGCTTGATTGAACATTGCTTGGTTGCCCACTATCTGATTCAGATAAGCTAACGTGTTTTAGAATGGTTCAGAAGCTAGGCAAAGCCATGGTTCAGAAATGTGTCTTCAGGATTTGAATCCTGTCGGATTTCGTAAGTGATTCACCAGGAGTATTTTGCTTCCTTTGTTTTAAGGACAGCTTTAAAGTAGTCTTTGATTTAGCTACTGATATTTTCAGAAAAGAGGTGTCCTGTAAGAAACCGGTCTTCTTTAAATGTATCAAGGGTAAATCCCGTAGTGCATCAACAAATTTGCTTTATGGTTTTTTAGAACTAGTCTCCGGTTAATTCATTTAGAATAAAAATGATTCCTGTAGTGCATCAACAAATTTGCTTTACGGTTTTTTAGAACTGGTCTCCGGTTAATTCATTTAGAAAAATGAATCTGTGCCTAATCATATAGATTGTGCTAGAGACTTAGCTTACCAAAGATTACACTTTTGTAGAAACCACCAAACCATTCTCGTGTACATCATGTCAGTTTCTTATCTCCTTAAAAAAATGCCAAATAAATTGACACATTCTTCTTGTCTCTTCTTTAAAGAGATTCCTTCTGCCCAATTTCTGCCATTATATCACACTTCCCTTATCATAAGCAACACGTCTATTTATTCTCTTAAGTATGTAAATTTACAGTGTATGATGATGACTTCTGATTCACTACATGGACTTGGAACTTATCATTGAATTAGTGTGGTAGTCTTCATGAAACAAGCCATTGCCCCCTACTTGTGTACATTTCACTCTTCAAGCCTTCAACCTGCTATCCACTTGCTTGAGTATCTTTTGATTATACAAAGTTCAAAATAAATTTATCTGAACAGTCTTTGTATTGTGATCATTTGAACACTTTGCATGAATTCCCATGCTAACCTGATGCTATTACTCTAGCAACTTGTCATCTTTTTAGATTAACTGTTATTTTTCTACAGGAACAGTTCTGTTTCTCAAATAACTATTAACAACAATCGTTTTATTCTTTCCTCACAGGTACTACAGTGCAACCATTCTGCAGATGTCTGGTGTTGAAGATGATAGACTTGCAATATGGCTGGCTTCCGTTACAGCCTTCACAAATTTCATTTTCACACTTGTGGGAGTCTGGCTTGTTGAGAAAGTGGGCCGCAGGAAGCTTACCTTTGGGAGCTTAGCAGGTAGGTGACGGGATGAAGAACTCATTTTCTCTAATGATGACAAGCTCACCTTCCAAAATACAATACCAGTAGCAATTATGATATTGTTCTCTTAGCCAAATAATAGACTCCTTTTAGACAAAAAGTTTTTTAAAAGGAACTGAATGTTATGATATGTAACTAGAATGTAACTAGAAACTGGAATTTTAAGAACAATCTGAATCTACGGAGGGTGACATTCTAGTGCTGTTAATTTTGAGCTCTGCTTAAAGGTACAAAAGTGAAAAGAATAATTGGTTTTTGTTCTTCTTTGAAAAATTTGATCTTCATAAACTCGCTTTTTAACCTGTTTTATTTTTAAGTTTGGCATAATATGGAAGTAAATTTGGAGCATTTTTTTTAAAGCTCTTTGAATAGTAGAATATTAGAACTATTTAATTTCTTCAGAAAGCAGCAACAGACTCTTTGTAAAGTGTTTGAACCAGGCTCAGATTCTAAGGTAAATCCTAACTGGTTAAATGTGTTTTCTATAACAGCTAAATAAGACAAAACTTTTCTCACTTTCAAGTACTTTTTGTCTTTAAATTCTATACATTTTTCTGCTTCGCTTACAGAATGAAATCCATCTTTGCCATTGTCTTCACATGTTGCATCATACAATTTTCTTATCTCTTTCATATATATAGATTACTAATTATCAATTAGCTGGCTTCTAATAGCTCCTTTACAAGTTTAATTAGAATAAGAATACATTTTTCCATTAAAATGTAGAGTTTCCAGGCTAACAACTACATTCTCTTTTAACCAAATTATACCTTTAAACACTGATCTAATAGCACTGCTTCAGGCACTTGTCCCAGATTTTAATGAGAAAATGCAGTCTGAGTTCCAAAGTTATTAGGAACACATAGTCTCTCCTACCATTATCTCCATCAGGAGGAATAGAATGCTTCCACGCTCTGTTCTTGCCTAAGCAGTGGAAGGACTTAAGTCTGATAATGTAAGTTGAACTGAGAGGAGGGTGAGCAAAGATTGTCTGATTAAGAGGCAAAGGTAATTGTAACAGTCAAGGTACACAGGGAAGCAGGAGGGTAAGTGAGAAAATGTAAGGGACAAGGAGGCTAAAAACCATCCATTCATAAACTTGTTGAAGAAACTAGTAGTGTTTAGTCTGGAAGAAAGACTAAAGGGATACCCAGTATATACCTTATTCTAGCAGGTGGTAGATGTTATAAGGGTATAATTTTTTACTTAATATGGAAAATATATTCTTAATCAGAACTATCTCACTATAAATTGGTCTGTCTTATTAGGATGATAAACTCTCAATAGAAGGATACATGGCCATCAAGTGGTGATGTACCAAAAATAAATTCCTATAATTGGGTAGAAATTAGGTTTGTTGATTTCTAGAGGTTCAGGTCAACCTGAAGAAGAGGTAATAGCTGCTTTACAATTTTTTTAATGGATACCCACCCTTCGTTTTTAACAGGGCCTCTGTATATTGCAACTGTAAGAAGTCTATTTTTTTAAATAGAATTTCAGGTCTTCTTAAATTTGACATTTGGCTTTGGCATCTGAGGAAAACATTTTTTCTAGTAGCCCTTTATTTGTCATATTTCAATGAGACACTTTCTCATCAACTTCTGAAGGTTTTGAAGGCATTGTAGATCTAGAGCCATACTGCTTGGGTTTGAATTTTGTGACTTTGGGCAAGTTTCCAGTTTCTCATTAGTAAAAAGCAATTCAAGTCCCTACTACATAGGGTTATAAAGAGGACCGAACACATTTATACACATATGACATTTAAATCTCTTCCTGACATAGGTAGTAAGGTGCCTAGCTCATCTTAGCCATCACAGCATTATTCCTGACGGGGTGATTCTTTGTTGTTTTAACCATAATGTGAAATAAGCTTGAATAACTGGAATCCAGGAACTTTCCTGAACTCTCCTAGCTGATGTCCTGTTTCACCTCTCAATGTAGGTGTTCTGCTCCAAGAATTTCCAGAGCCCATCCCTGGCTATTAAGAGAAAGTATTAAGACAATTACCTGGAAGAACAGTACTGAGAGATGTTAGGGACTGCTTTTCATGAGCAACCCAGAGGCACTTTTCTTTCCTGCCGTTTTTTGCTTCCAGTCAAAACCACCAACACTCCACCTGTGCACACTACTAACACCATGCAGTGATTGCTCTTGCATGAGAGAGATCTTCCATCAAGTAGATACTTGAGCTCCTTGTTATATAGCCAATTAAAGTGATGATGTAGATATTACAGTGGTTTAAGAGGTAAAAGGCCTAGTTTCTTATCACAGGTCTCCTCTTCTACATGTACATATAGAGGTAAATAGAGCTCTTTATGCAGTTCTGGTTTTTAACTGATTTAATAGATGCCAGTAGACCACAATGACCAATGGAATTTTACACGTTCAGTCAAAAACATGCTGTTCAACAGCCTTGCTAGTGGATTAATATTACCCTTCCTTGGATGTTCGTTTCACTTTCTGATGCCAATTCGTTCTGGGTTAGTTATATATATTTATTTCAATATTTTGTTTTGGTTTTTGTAGCTATCAAAACTATGATAGTGCTAAGGATTAGGATACTGTTCTATTTAAAATTTCTTAAAAGCCTTTAATCCAGTTCTGTCCCTTTTCTTACATTTTTATTATGATTTATTTTATGATACTGGGTTAAATTACTGAGAAAAATCCTATCAAAATAATTTTTGAATAGGTATTCTTTAAAAATCACTACAAATAAACTATACTTACCTAGACCTGGACAAAAGGACTCTTTATACAAAGAAATGTAAAATATATAGTCCATGAATAATTTTAAATGGAGGACATTTTGTGGTGTTCTGACTTTTGATAATTTTTAAAGATTGATGTATTTATTTGACAGAGAGAACAGGAGGAAGGGCAGAGAATCTCAGACTCCTGGCTGAGCGAGGAGCCCAATGCCGGGCTTAATCCCATGACCCAGAGATGGTGACCTGAGCCAAAATCAAGAGTCAGATCCTTAACCAGCTGAGTTACCCCAGGTGCCCAAATGATTTTTGATATTTTTAAAGCTTGGCTCAGAGAACTGGTCTTTCTCATAAATATTACACATATAAAGACATATTAAACATATAATGATAATCTCTTGATACTTTTAATAGAAGAAAATCTGTATCTATATAGATTTATTATAACTAATCAGACAGCCAGAAATACAGTGTTAGTTGTCCTCAGATATCTTGATAGTAGAATATTTCTGAAAGTGTCACTCATACACTGTCTCAATCAAAATTACCAGAGGGTACTTATTTTGAAATATGTACTCATGGACCTTACCCAAATGTATTAACTTAGGATCTCTGAAGATGGGGTCTGGAGCATGTGAGTTTCAAACAGGTTCCCCAGCGGATACTTTTATACAATAGTGTGCTTTATTAGAGTCCTGGGAATAGGAATTAAAAATTTTCTAAGTATTTACTAATAATTTAGCACTGCACCAGGTAGTTAATAGTAACTTATTGAATTAGATGTTTTTTTAACATATTATTTATCCAACACACTTCACTTCTGTGAAGACCATCTTTATTAGGAAAATTATATCAGAATCCCAAAATGTCACAATATACTTAGTTAAGAAGAGACTCTTCGCTTAAAATATAAAGAATGTGCCTAAACTGCAGAAAGCACTGGGGAAGATTCAAGGCCTTCTTATATTGGACTCAAATTTGGTTGGAGTAATGATCAATCTGACAATAATTATAATAATTTGAATACTAACAAGTGGCTAATAAAATGTCTATAACTTGTTAAATGAAAGGAAATCGGTAATTCAAGTAGTTTTAAGCTTTAAAGGTATACGAGTATATAAGGATTAGGTGATCATTTTAAAATTTATTGCATAAATAAAGTCATTTAAGATACCATTTCCCTTCCTAAGGAGTTTATCATCTTAAAAGTTTATTTTACAAGTTATATTGGGGCACCTGAGTGGTGCAGTCAGTTAAGCGCCTCTTAGTTTCAGCTCAGGTCGTGATCTCGGGGTCATGAGATGGAGCCCCAAGTCAGCTTCCATGCTCAGTGAGGAGTCTGCTTAAGACTACCCACCCTGCTGCATCCTCTCATGCTCTCTCTCAAATAATAAATCTTTTTAAATACTTTTTTAAAGTTTAAAAGTTTATTTTACAAATTTTCATATGTCCCATATATGTGATCATATATGTATATATTTTATATATCATATCACACACATACACATCTATAAAATAAGCTATACCAAGACATATGTGATGCCCAATAATCTGGGGAGCTGTTTAAAACTCAGGTGCTGATCTGCATTTTCTGGATATGCTGATTCAGAGGTTTATGTACATCCCAAGCATTTGCTGCCAGTAGCAAATTAGGACTGAGAAACACTGCTATATATAATAAAGAATATAAAGGTATAATACTGACTTTTAAAGGATTGTCATCTAAAATGCATTGAAATAAAAATAAGTTTGTGCTTAAGAAGGGTTAAATCTTCAGCTTTTTAGGAATTTTGTGTACCTAGGAGGGTCGGTTCACCATATTTTGCAGGTAAACTGGACCTTTTTAGAGAGGGATGCAAGAGATACACTGTACGTGCTGCAGAACTCTCGGCTAGGATATGTACCATATTAACCCTATGACCTCAATTGGATAGTCTTAAGATTTGTTTTGTTTTTTTTTCCCAAAAATACTCAATATTACAAAAATCTCTGGCACTATGGTCCATTCATTCAGCTAGTACTTATGGGGATCTGCTGTATGCCAGGCATTAGAACTGGACATATGTGAGTATGTGCTAGTATACCATCTTAAAGTTTATTTATACTTTGTCATGGAGATAGGTTATTTAATAAGCATTATAAAAGAAATGTATCATGTGTCCTTCATATCTTACATTATCAACATTTCCAGATGGAAAATCTCTACCAATCTTCCCTGCCCCATAACAATGTGCCATGGAAGTAATTCGGGGAAATACTTTAAGGACCTGGGTTCTTTGATGGGCAGATTCACAGTAAAATTCAGGTTTGTTTTGTTTTGAAGAGGAATGATTTTCGTAATAGACCTAATATATCCACTCTCTTTCTCAAAGACCTCTTTTCAGTTTCCCAGTTCAGGGCTCTGATCATCCTTTCAGAAAAAAAAAAAAAAAATGCCTCTAACTATTCCTACTTCCGGCTTGAGTTTTAAGCCAGTAAGGGGCAAACAAACAGAGATTTTAGGTTCATGGCTTTTTTGACCCAGTGTGGCAAAAATAGACTTCTTATCTCCCCTTCAGGCCTCCCCTTCCTTCAACTTTTTTTCCTGGGATTTTGAAAGGTGATAGCTGCTGCTGCTGCTGCTACTTCTGCTATTTCTTATGACTATGATAGTACAATAGCATTTTGTAGCATTGCCAAAATCTTTCAAATACATTAGGATATTTAAACTTCACTGCAATTTGGCAAGGTGAGTATTTTCACTAAGCCCCATTTTATGGAAGACGAAATTGAACCTTGGAAAGGTCCTGTGCCTTGCCCAAGGTCACAGAAGTCAAGAAATGGCAGAATTGGAACTTATCCACAGCATTTAACTGGACACATCGCCCTCATCTTGAACACATACACCTCAGCCATTACACAATCCCATTGCACTTCCACAGTGCTTCCCAAAGTTCTTTTTTTATCCATTCATTTAATAATATTTTTGCTTGGGATGCCTGGGTGGCTCAGCGGTTGAGCATCTGCCTTCAGCTTAGGGCATGATCCCACTATCCGGGATCAAGTCCCACGTCAGGCTCCCTGCATGGAGCCTGCTTCTCCCTCTGCCTTTCTTTCTCTCTGTCTCTCTGTGTCTCTCTCTGTCTCTGAATAAATAAATAAAATCTTTTAAAAACATAAATCAGGGATCCCTGGGTGGCGCAGCGGTTTGGCGCCTGCCTTTGGCCCAGGGCACGATCCTGGAGACCCAGGATCGAATCCCACGTCGGGCTCCCGGTTCATGGAGCCTGCTTCTCCCTCTGCCTATGTCTCTGCCTCTCTCTCTCTCTCTCTCTCTGTGTGTGTGTGACTATCATAAATAAATAAAAATTAAAACAAATAAATAAAAATAAAATAACATAAATCATATTTTTGTTCATATCTTAAATGTACCTCCCAGTTCACTCAATAAAAACTTTATAACTATGGAAATGCCTTCCCTAAATTCCATATTTTAAACAGCTTGCCCTGTTCAAATTAATTGTACAAATTACTACAGTCAGATTTTCTTTATTCTTTCTTCCTGTATCCCTTTTTGTATATTTTCTCAATGGCTGGAACAATAGTCAGAAATTTGAAAACTTTCTTTTTTACTGTTAGGATGTCTCTCCGGGACTCAAAACTGAGCCTTTTAAGTGATATACTTAATCACTATTTCTACAACTTACAGATTCTGTTTCCAGATACCAATAGGAGGGACAAATGAATACATGTGCTGTATCATTTCTGGCACCTTCAAGTCACGAGAAACGAATGCTACTCCTCTTTAATAAATGTTCTCTCAGCTGCTTTTGAAATGTTCAGTTTGTTAGTTTTTAGTTTACTGATTTGGATTCCTTTTTTTTTTTTTTTCATTTTGTTTTTATTGAAGTTCGATTATCCAACATACAGTATAACACCCAGTGGTCATCCCATCAATTGCCCTCCTCAGTGCCCATCACCCAGTTACCCCAATCCCTCGCCCACTGATTTGGATTCTTAAACGGTGGGTGCCATTAGAACAATTTTTTTGGCAAAGTAAGTAAGTGATATGTTGCCTTTCAAATTTCTAACATCTTAGGCACCCAGTAATTCTGGTTGCATTAGTTGATTGTGAGACTGTTAACAATCCAAGGATTTTTGTTTTTTAAGAAAATCATTACCAGTCTACGGCTTGGCTTAGCAAATAAACTTTCTCTCTTGTCCTATTTCACAATGAATGTGCTGGTGAGTTTTTCTGATAATCTGTGTATACATCAGGAACATTTTTTTTTTTTTAACAATCCAGTGAAGATGTAGTTTTTCAGAGATGTGTCTTGCCAAACCCAGTCTGCTTTGAAAGAATGTTGCCAACTATTCTCTGATGTCAAACTTTTTTTTTTTTTTTTTTATAGGTACTACTGTAGCACTCCTTGTTCTTGCTTTGGGATTTCTGCTGTCAGCTCAGGTTTCACCACGCATCACTTTTAAACCAGTAGCTCCATCGGGTCAGAACACTTCTTGCACGAGATACAGGTGAGTTCTCATAACAGTCCCCTGCCTTAACCTAATTCTAGTAACTTTTTGTTTGCATTTAACTTTAAAATTTGAGAGATGAATTGCGGCTTGCTTGTGGTGGAAGGTAAGAGGATGGGAAAGGTGGTGAGGAAGACCCAGCAGGAAGAGGAACAGCATGTGCAAAGACACGAGGATAAAAGTGCTGGAGGAAAAGTATCAGACACACTACTGATGTTTTTCTAGAAATTAGAAGTTGGGATTGTTACAGAATCTAAGCAGGAATATTGTGGAACCGTTTTTAGATCATCTGTGTATGACTCAGTGGCATCTATTTTCCAGGTAAAATAAATTACTTTAATCAGTAATTAAACTTTTCTGGGATGTACATGTCTGATATAGAAGATTATCATCTGGACATTCTAACGGGCTTCACAAGTTCCACAGGTATCTTCTCATTCATGTAAGCAGAAAAGGAGATTTTTTTTCACTACTGGAGTTCTTTCAGAGCACTAGGAAATGGAAAGAGATGATGGAAGAGAGTGAAATACATTCTGACGGCCAATTGTAGGCGTGGGAACTCTGTTAAGCCTAATGGTATGCACACTGTATGATCAATTGGTTGGAGAAATGGATGGATGGATAGACAGATGGACTAAAGAATGCACAAATTAGTTACTTAGAAATTGAATAAACAGATCAGTTAATGTATCTGGTAGCAGAGTTCCAAAGCTTATAACTTTGTTTTAGTGGTTGAAAAGGCTAGCAGCCCCTTTAAAATATATGGATAAAACAAAACCTGGCATTATTTATTTATTTGGACAGCACACATGGGTTGGGGGGAGCAAGGAATAGGGGGAGAGAGAGAATCATAAGCAGGGTCCACACTGAGAGTGGAGCTCATCATAGGGCTTAATTTCACGACCCTGAGGTCATGACCTGAGTAGAAATCAAGAGTCAGAAACCTAAGTCACCTAGGTTCCTCATGCCCTAGCTTTGAAAACAAAAAATGAAAAAAAAAAAAAACCAATAAAAATAAAAACAAAAAATTATATTCTTCCAGCCTCAACTAGATGTACACAAGTCTTAAGTCAACGGGTAAATGATTTATTAATTTCTTAACTTTTAGTCATATACTCATATGAAATTAAAACATTACATTCATACACTAAATTCTACTTGGAATCCTTTTGGTTTCATGTTGAACAGGTTTTGAATTTATGGTGGTTTCTCATTACAACAGTGAGGAGGAATGTATATTGTTAGGCCTTTCTGGTCCCAAATTGTGATATTCACTTTGCTTTAGAAATAAATGCTTAGGGATCCCTGGGTGGCGCAGCGGTTTGGTGCCTGCCTTTGGCCCAGGGCGCGATCCTGGAGACCCGGGATCGAATCCCACGTCAGGCTCCCGGTGCATGGAGCCTGCTTCTCCCTCTGCCTGTGTCTCTGCCTCTCTCTCTCTCTCTCTCTCTCTCTGTGACTATCAGAAATAAATTAAAAAAAAAATTAAAAAAAAAGAAATAAATGCTTATATTCCTTCTTCCTCTTACTAATAAGTTTACTTATTTAAGGGCCCACTGATTTTTTAACAGTCTTTATCTTGTTGTAACGAAGACTTAAAGATGTCTTGATAAAGGAAGTTACTTTAGAATAGACTATTCTTCAGTGTAGTGATGTTTTCTTTCTTTGAACATCCCATATCAACTGCTAGTTGATAGAGCCATTACCAGAACTCTTCATGCTCTACTTTTGGTTTTTCTTGATGGATATTTAAAATGTTTTAACATAGTTACTTCTGACAAATTATTTTTAAAATTACTGTTGTTGAGCAAGAGTTCTAGAAAGGATATCTTTAGATACAGTAATTTAGATTAAGAATAAGACTAATAAATGCATGGTCAGGCCATCTAAAGGCAGGAAGCCAGAGTATGGAAAAAAGTTTTATGAATTTCTGATACAGGAAAAGAATGACAAACTTTTGAATTACTTTCAAAATAGGGTAGTTTTCTTGATACCAACTTTTAAAGTTTAAATAAAAATATTTATTGCCCTCGTATAGCTTACATGGCAGTTTATGATTATCAACCTGTTAATCTTTCTGATCTTTCTAGGTTGTCATTACCTAATATTTCAGTACCAAATTACTGAGCGGTGGGACAGCCTAATTTTATTTTCACCACAAAAATGGGCAACAGATAATGAAACAGAACCAATTTTAGATGTCCTTTGGGAGTCATTGAATATGAAAAACAGTTATATATGTTGTACCTTCTTTCAGAGTAACATATTAGGCTCTGTGGGAATTTGACATTATGTAAATATACTCTCAGTGATTTTGTAAAATATACCTGCATTCTCTTACTGATTTTGTTCTAGTCTCCTTACTGATTGTGTTGTTTTTAAAACTATATATACAACCTTTTTTAAAGATAAACATGAAAGTAATGTGTGTAATACAGTACCATAGAATGAGTACTGTTTAGGCTGTAAATGTAGATACTATACTTTCCCCATGGAATGATCCATATAGGAAAATTGAGCAAATAAAACAGATTTAAAAGGGAAATTGATATAATACTTATCTTAAAAATATTGTATACTGTTGATGAGAGTGTAAATTGTTCTCTGTTTTGGAAAGAATACAATTGTGCCTAGTAAAAGTTAAATGCCTATGCCCACTGACTCAGCACTTCCACTTGTAGAAATCTGTAGACAGTGGTGATGAGTACGTGTCTATTCCAATTACAATTAAGTAGATTTAAGAAAGTGAGTGGTTCAAGAACAGTGGTTCTGTAGTTTAATTCAATAAATACTAATTGTGTGGCAGACACTATTGTAGGTTGGAGCCCATAATGTAGGTTGGGGGTCACTAAAGATCTGAACCCAAGAGATTGACTATTCTAAACATTTTCCAATGAGAACTTCTGCTTTTTATAATATTATACATACATATATTATATATATATATTTAGATTTTATTTTTTTTTATTTTTTTTTTGAATTTATTTATTTATGATAGTCACAGAGAGGAGAGAGAGAGAGAGGGGCAGAGACACAGGCAGAGGGAGAAGCAGGCTCCATGCACAGGGAGCCCGACGTGGGATTCGATCCCGGGTCTCCAGGATCGCGCCCTGGGCCAAAGGCAAGCACCAAACCACTGCGCCACCCAGGGATCCCTATTTAGATTTTATATATTTACTTGAGACAGCAAGTGAGAGAGAACATGAGCTGGGGGGAGGGTGACAGGGAGAGGGAGAAGCAGACTCCCTGCTGAGCAGGGAGCCCAACTCGGAGCTTGATTCTAGGGCCCTGGGATCATGAGCTGAAGGCAGATGCTTAACCAACTGAGCCACCCAGGCACCCCTAGAGTATTTTAATTTTTTATTGAAGTATAATTAACATATAATGTCACTAGTTTCAAGCATACCTTCCACCTTGGTGACTTATTTATTTTAAAACTAGAAATTTGTTCCTCCTTATCCCTTTCACCTATTTGTTTTATCTGTCCACCCACCTCCAGTTTGGTAACTACCATCTGTATTTAAGAGTCTGTTTGAGGGAACCCTGGGTGGCGCAGCGGTTTAGCCCCTGCCTTTGGCCCAGGGCGCAATCCTGGAGACCCGGGATTGAGTCCCACATCGGGCTCCCGGTGCATGGAGCCTGCTTCTCCTCTGCCTATGTCTCTGCCTCTCTCTCTCTCTCTCTCTCTCTCTCTCTCTCTCTCTCTCTCTCTCTCTCTGACTATCATAAATAAATAAAAATTAAAAAAAAAAAGTCTGTTTGGGACGCCTGGGTGGCTCAGTGGTTGAGCAGTCTGCCTTTGACTCAGGGCGTGATACCAGAGTCCCAGGATCAAGTCCTTCATTGGGCTCCCTCCGGGGAGCCTGCTTCTCCCTTTGTCTGTGTCTCTGCCTCTACTGTGTGTCTCTTATGAGTAAAATAAAATCTTTACCAAAAAAAAAAAAAAAAAGAGAGAGAGAGTCTGGGTTTTGTTTGTTTCTTTTTGTTTTTTTAAGTTCTACAAATAAGTGAAAGCATATAGTATGTCTTTGACTTATTTCATTTAGCATAATACCCTCTAGGTCCATCCATGTTGTTGCAAATAGTAAGATACCATTCTTTTTTTTTTTATGGGTGTTAGTATATAAATACCATATTTACTTTATCCATTCATCTGTTGATGGATACTTGGGTTGCTCTCTTATCTTAGCTTTTATAAATACTGCTGTAATACATAGGGGTGCCTATATCTTTTTGAATTCGTGATTTGTGTTTTGGGGTAAATAACGAATAGTAGAATTACTGGTTCACATGGTATTTCTATTTTTAATTTTTTGAGGAACACCCTTACTTTTTTTGGCAATGTTTGCTGTAATTTACATTTCCACCAACAATGCATGAGGGTTCACTTTTCTCCATATTTTTGCCAACACTTGTTATTTCTTGTCTTTGATTCTAGGCATTTTAATACATGTAAGGTGATACCTCATTGTAGTTTTGGTTTCCCTAATGATTAGGGATGTTGAGGATCTTTTCATGTGTCTTTTAGCCATCTGTATGCCTTTCTTGAAAATAATGTATATTCCAGTTCTTTGCCCATTTTTCACCAGATGCCAGTTTTTCTTAGGCATTGACTTGTGTAAGTTCTTTATAATTTTGAATACTAACTCCTTCTTGGATATGTCATTTGCAAATATCTTCTCTATTCACTAGGTTGCCCTTTTTTAATATTTATTTATTTATTATTTATGATAGGCAGAGACACAGGAAAGTTGCCTTTTTCTTATGGATGATTTTCATTGCTGTACAGAGGGTTTTTATTTTTTTGTAATCCTTATAGTTTACTTTTGGTCTTGTTTCCCTTGGCTGAGGAGATATTCATAAATATGCTACTAAGGGTGATATCCAAGAGATTACTGCCTATACTTTCTTTTAGAAATGATATGGTTCCGAGTCTCACGTTTAGTTCCTTAATCCATTTGGAGTTTATTTTTTGTTTAGTGTAAGAAAACGATCCACTT